TAATACACTCGGCATCAAAGAAATCGGACCTCCCGCGACAATGACTAAAGATTTTCTTCTGACACAATTATGGTGCCCCACCAATATTGGTGTTATGTGTTGAAAGCCCAATAAATAAACTATACCAGAAAATAGCTTGCCGCGGGGTGTGCGATTTATTTGACACAGTGTATATTTTTTAATTTAATTGCATTATTGGTAAATAATTATGGTTTTAAAATGTATAAATTAAAAACTTTATTGTACACCACAAACAAAAAAACAATAAATAAATAAATACACAAAAGAGTACAATTTAAATAAATTAGTTAAATTAATCGATTTGAGTAGTGGGTGTTACTGAATTTTCACTACTTTCATGTTTCAATAAACAGAAAAGTAAGATTCAGATGAGTCTTCTTGTCTTGTTATGTGTCTCAAAACTAATTAAATAACTGAATTACTCGGTGGGGAACATAATGTCTTGGGCATTTATTTAATAATAAAATGATAATGTACCTATTCTATTTAAAAAATGTAATTATTCTATACAGTAAAAAATAATTTTTCAATTTCAGGGCCTGAATCACAACCTCCAGAACATCAAATTTAATAAATGCAGATTATTGAAAACACTTATTCAGATAATTATCTACTTAACAATGAGAAACCAACATCGCAATATAAAAATATAATATTATTATGGAGCAATTGTTAAAGCTTGTGTATCTATCACTGGAATGTCATCCAATTCTCATGTAAACTGTTATTTATTAACTATTATATTATAAAATGTTAAATAAGTGCTACTAACTATTTGTGCAAAACTAGTTAGAGGTGTATTTTTTATTTTGATCATAGTATTATAATAAATCATTCCAAAACTTAACTTTTTAAATTTCTATTATTCCTATAACTTCAAATCCCTTGCTATATCAATATGCTTTCTTTTATGTATTCTTTCTGTTAGTTTTAATAATAAATACATAAGACTTATGACTAAAAGGAATGGCCAAACACCACCGTTGAGGTAGCACCGCAACTGCTGGCCTAAAGTTTTGTTCTTGTTCAATAATATCCTATCGTAAACTATTTCTGTTCTCCTAGATATATCCAGCCAGTTGTACATTTTTCTTACTTTTCTATTGCACTCATAGGGACATAATATTTTCCCACACTTGATGTCGTGCATAGCATTTTCAATTCCAGTGACTAGACTGCTGAGATTTGGTTCAGTCAGATAGATCATGTTTTCTGGCAACACCTCAGGTATCCCACCAACTTTAGTTGATACAACTTTGAGTCCGCAAGAAGCTGCTTCTACAATTGCCATGCAATAAGCTTCTGTTAGAGAAGTGTTTAGGAAAATGTCTCCTTTGACCAAAACATTCCTGACTTCGGAGTGTGGTAGACTTCCTAACAGTGTTACACAATGCTGGAACCCTTTCTCCCTAATCTCTTGTAGCAGCCACATCTTAGGGCCATCTCCTCCCACTATAAACCTCAAGTTAGGATATCTGGGACACATATCTGCTATCACAGCAGCCATTAGATCTACTCCTTTCCTATACACAAGCCTAGAAACAATCACTATTGTTATAAAATTTGGGTCTCTTTTGCTTGGATCAGGAGTAAATGTGTAAGCATCAACAGCATTAGGTATGACAGACACTTTATGGGCTTTCACTTTGGCTCGCAGCACAGTGTTCTCTTTGCCAGTGTGAGAGACACAAATGCAATGGTCACAATCACTCAAACAGATTTGAAGAAACTTATTAGTCAACACTGCGGACATATCTGCAAATCCGAATAGACTGTGATCGGTAAATACTGTTTTTAATCCCATCAATTTTCCGATTATACATATTTCATGACCCATTGTGCTAAAAGCAGAGTGTGCATGAACTATTTCAACACACTCTCTTATTAAAACATATCTAACTAGTGGTATGTTACATATCAGAGTAGGCAGGGCACACTGGTTATACATCACAGTTATTGGCAAGTAATAGACCTTCAAACCAGCAGTTAAATACCGAACACCCACTCTTTTTCCGTAAGAATGCGTCACAACAATAACTTTATGGCCTCTTTTGATAAGGCATTGAGATAAGTTAAAAATGTGCTCCTCAACACCACCAGTGTTTGGGAAGAAGAAATCAGAGGCCATGCAGATAACATGTCGTTTTTTCTTCCTTTTTGTCTGTTCCTGAAAAATAATCAAAGTTTAGCCCTGTTTATTTAAGTTGCAGTAACTACAAGTAAAAAAGTTAATAGTACTTAGGAGCACTGAGGCAATAGACAAAAATTACATACACCCTGCATATTGCTCTTCCAATTGTTTCGTGCCAATAGTTAAATATGTTACGAACAGTAATTATTTACATTTTCAAGCAAATCAAATAAAATGTATCAGCAACAAAGCGAATAACCTGAAAAACTGACTTTGACACACAGATGCTTTGACAGTTCAGACTTCAGCCCCCCTAGACAAAACGCACTTTTTGATCGAATCGAAAATCGAATCCGTCAAATTCCATACAAAAAAGGGGCTTTTCGACCACTTTTCGACTGGTTTGCGATTATAATGGCACTTTGTCTAGACCCACAGAACATATTACTTTTCTCTATGCTTCAGAACTAAGTCAGAAAGTGACCAAGTGCATTTATAGGGGCTGCCATGAGGGGCTGTTAACTTTTTCAAAATCGTTGAACCATTTTCATATTAGAAAAAAACACTATCATGTTCATGAGTGCTTTGATTTCATTGTCGAGTTGTACGATTTAATTTAAGTCGTGTAACGATTTCCCAACGTCACGCAACCGATTGGGTCTTGAGTTCTTATTCGGTGGCTCTTGATTCTTGAATTGAATTAACTCCTCTTTCTGGTGCAGTCGGGTAATACAATTGCTTTTTGCAAATAATTGTTTTTTTATAACCCGATTTAACCAAATGAATGTCTAAAAACAATTACAATAAATGCTACAACTTTTAATAAGTTTTAGCACGGAACAGCCTCTAAAAATGCAGTCATCTGTCAAATTTAAATACTTATTTAAAATACGCCTTAAACCAACGACATAACGTCCTAAATTGTATGTACACATACAATTTTAGTTGTGAGTGTTATGTGATCATATGTGATATTTTTAGGGTTCCGTAGCCAAAATGGCAAAAACGGAACCCTTATAGTTTCGTCATGTCCGTCTGTCCGTCTGTCCGTCTGTCCGTCTGTCCGTCTGTCCGTCTGTCCGTCTGTCCGTCTGTCACAGCCGATTTACTCGGAAACTATAAGTACTACAGTGATGAAATTTGATGGGAATATGTGTTGTATGAACCGCTACAAAATTATGACACTAAATAGTAAAAAAAAGAATTGGGGGTGGGGCCCCCCATACATGTAACTGAGGGATGAAAATTTTTTTTTCGATGTACATACCCGTGTGGGGTATCAATGGAAAGGTCTTTTAAAATGATATAAAGTTTTCTAAAAAACATTTTTCTTAAAGTGAACGGTTTTTGAGATATCAGCTCTCAAAGTCGTAAAAAGTATGTCCCCCCCCCTCTATTTTTATAACTACGGGGTATAAAATTCTAAAAAAAATAGAGGTGATGCATGCTAATTAACTCTTTCAACGATTTTTGGTTTGATCAAAGTATCTCTTATAGTTTTTGAGATAGGTTGATTTAACTGTAATTTTGGTTAAGTTATTGTGCTTACACTGAAAACGATGGCTGAACCTTATAAGATAGATCAAAAAATATACTACAGTATTGTACACCTTTTAAAATCCGCGATGATATAAAATCTTTATAATGTAGGTACTTTTTACGAGAAATATTAGCTTATTCAAGCAATACGCCATTAATCCTTATCCAGTAATGTACCTTAAATACATTGTGCATTTGATAAAGTTTAATATTACAAATGTGATTGTTGAGTAATAATAGGTTAAACATATCCATCGAACCAATATTTTTAAAACGCGTTAATCCTATAGATTATTATTACATCGATTCAAGAAGATCGGTCGCTCGCTGCGCTGCAGCGCGTGAGTTGCGGGGCGTGGTCTCGCGCGGGAGCGGGGATAAGATAGCTAACCGCGTCGACCCGAACGGGCAGACACGTGAGGGCAGACGTCGTTGTCACTTGTGCGCGCTAAGAGAATTTCATCGTTCCCATTTACTTCTTTCGCAAGTCGAATTTGGCGTTGAGACTTTTTAATATTGAATTGTACCTATTATAAAAAATAAGTAAGTAGGTATACTGGTTTAATAGGTGCTATTAAACCGGTCACGTACTAATAAATCCCCCAATAATATAAATTCCTTTGTTTTTGGTGCAAATTTTAGTGTTTCGTAGCAGGTTTTTAAAATTTCTAAAGCTTATTGTATATCATCTAACAATGGATACTTTAGATAATACGTTTTCCTACATTCTGAATTATAATAACTATATCGAAGATGATGTGGTTCGCGCATTTCATGAAAAGTTACTTCGGTGCACATCATTTAGACCGCGTGAGCTAGAATTATTTCAACACCCTGAACTGATTGAACCTGTACCTAAAAATGAGACGCACCTTCAAGTAATTTATGACGGTGACGTGGGATTAGTGGGGCACTGGAGTTGTATTTATTACATTAATGGAATACTGCGTGTGTACGATAGTCTTGTTGGTGTTCTAGGAAAATCGCAAAAAATATATGTAAAAGCCTTGTTTCCGTATCTATCGGAGTCATGTATTCAGTTTCCAAGTGTTCAGCGACAACCGAATACTATTGATTGTGGTTTGTTTGCCATTGCTTTTGCCACCTCTTTAGCTCGGAATATTTATAAATACATATATAAAATTAATATTCATACATAAAAGTACAAGGCAAAATATCGGGAGAGTTTAGGCTCCATTCACCAGGTGTATAAATTGACATAATAAGTTTATTATATTTGCTGCTACGGAACCCTTTGTGCGCGAGCCCGACTCGCACTTGGCCGGTTTTTTAGGTTAGAAATTGATAAAAAAAAGTCTTGATTGAAGTTCTGCGTGAAAAAAATCAAAGTAAATAAAATAATGGACGAAGATAAAAAGAAAACTGAAAGAAAAATAAAAAGATTTGCTGCTCGTTTCAAGAGTTCTAGACAAATAAATTGCACAGAAAACCCTGGACCCGTAAGTTTCCGCAATGTTTATTTACATTTTTACATTGTGGTACAGTGTGGCTTTAATTATATCGGTAAATATTGTACAATTTCAGCATATAATATTGTGTAATGCTGGCCAAGCAACAGGGTTGGAGAAAAGTGCAATAACAAGCTTGATAGCTAACTTAAAAAGTGATATTGAACTCCCAAAGTTCATAGCAGAGAAAGGAGAGACGCATTCATTTCTCGCCTTCAACTCTATTGAGAGTGCAGTATTATTCCACAACACGTACAATGGCAAAGCGAAAATAGATACTAATGGGACACCACTGTATATGAGTTATGTTGAGAATGGTAAGTAACATTTTTTTACTCCATATGTTAGCAGTACAGACAGCAAAATTTATGGTAAATACTGCCCAGTATTATTATATAAAATAAACTTTTTATCTTAATAAACATTAATTGTTACCAATATGTCCAATTTCAGTTCCTGATACCGAGATAATCTGTTCTCATGAAAATCCAAAAGGTTTGATCTTATTAAATGACTTTATAACAATAGAAGAGGAGAAAACATTCTTGAAAATATTTGATTGGGACGAGAACATTGATTCAAGTACCCTAAAGAACCGGCAAGTAAAGCATTATGGCTACGAATTTAGATATGGGACCAATGATGTCGATTTAAGCTCTCCATTAATTGAGAAGATTCCGGAAGAATGTGACGTGTTGTGGAGGAGACTGAGGAAACATGGAATTGATGTGGGCATCCCCAATCAACTGACGGTCAACAAGTATGCACCTGGTCATGGTACTTATTAAATATTTACATCATTATCAAGATTTTTAGGAATTTTAGTGGCTCAGAAGGACAGAGATAGGTGTTAGTTCGTTTGTTACAGCCAAATGACGTCCACTGCTGGACAAAGGCCTCCCTCAAGGCTTTCCATAACGACCGGTCCTGCACTGCCTGCATCCAGATTCGTCTCTAGGATATGGGAGATAGGTGTTAAGGTGTATAATGATGATATTACAATATTAATCAAATAGGGCCTTATTTCTCTTGCTAACAATGCAGCACAATATTTTTCTAGTATTACATTATTTTCATTTACTCTTTCAGGGATACCATCACATGTAGATAAACACAGTCCATTTTGCGATACAATTTTGTCACTGTCCCTTGGCTCGTCAGTAGTTATGGACTGGAAACACCCTACAGGCAAATATGTGCCAGTTTTAGTTGATAGGAGATCTATGCTAGTGATGCAAGATGAAGCTAGGTATGCATGTCGGATATAATCACGATTTTATTGAAAATTTTTGCTTTGGGTTTACTGAAAGATGAATTATAAAATTTAACTTCAGGTATGATTGGCAACATGGCATCCAATCCAGAACATGGGATCCTGTCATTGAGAACCGTACAGTAACTTCTGATGATACGCAAAAAGTGGTTAAAGTCATCACAAACGACACGCGAGCGCGCCAAACGAGGATATCGCTGACTTTCCGGTGGACTAGGAGTGGCCCTTGTGAATGTAAATATAAGACGTTGTGTGATAGTGTAGAGAAAGGGTCTGAAAATATTGAGGATGAGGTGGCCTCAAATCTAGAAGAGTTGCATGTCCATCAGGTAAGAACTCTTCAATCCCTCTATCACTTAGGCACTTGTCATCTAATACTTAGGCACTTGTCAAATGTATTTCTTGCTAGTTACAAATAAAATAAAAGCCTTGTAAACTTACACTTACGTAAAGACTTTTACTAACAACTTTTCTTATTAACTTATTGTATTGTAAGATAAACGACAAATTAAAGTTACGATCGCTAAATATTTGTAGGTATACGAACAAATAGCGGGCCACTTCAGTACTACGCGACACAAGCCGTGGCCTAAAGTGGTAGAGTTTATGGCGCGCGTGCCACCGGGCGCTATCGTGCTTGATCTGGGAGCAGGAAATGGGAAAAATATACTGAAGAGAGACGACATTTTGCAAGTAAGTTTACTGTTTGAGCTAAATATAAAAACTGCCACGTTATTGTGCTGAGGATGTAGGTAAGCATCAATTTATAAAAATAATATATGCTTATTATTGATTGATTATGATAACATAATTAATGCAAATTAAATATTGCATGTATGGTGATAAAGCATTTGAGAAAGTTGACAGATTATTGAGTGTAACCTAGGTAAACTTAATCATAAGTAGTTGAGGAATAAATACGTGTTTTTGAAAGTACTATACAATATCGTTCATTATAAACTAAATTTCACTAGATTTCATGAGTCTTACATCAAATTAAATAAAGGACTTCATCAGGGAGCAGTCTTAAGACCAGTGTCGTTTTTTGGTTGTAAGTTTATAACAGTAATCATTATAAAGTTGAATGTTTATTTCATCAGATAGCCGGCGAGCGCAGCTGTGGCCTTCTATCAGAATGCAAGACGCACATACAAAGTATCGCTGGTGCAGATTGCGTGCGGCTGGATTTGTTGAACACGAATTTAGCTGATGCGTGTGCTGACGTTATCATCTGCATTGCTGTGATACACCATTTCAGCAGTAAGGTCGGTATATTGATAGTTAGACGATCTCACGTGATAAGTAAATAACCATTTTTTTCTGATGTCATTTAAAATGTGAATCAAATTTTAGGCCAGAAGATTGCAAGCCATTTCGACAATATGCCGTCTGCTTCGGCCTGAAGGACGGGCGTTGATCACTGTCTGGGCAAAGGACCAGACTAAATCAAACTATCTGTGCAAGAATAAAAGCCATGAGCCCACGGAAGAACAACGAATGACCGTCGGAGGGGTGAACCTCCCGGTCCACGAAAACAGAACCCAGTTCAAACATAACGATTTGTTAGTCCCGTGGAAGCTTCGACAAATTAAAGAAAACAAACTATCAAATCAACCCGAAAACACCCTTTTACGGTATTATCATGTCTTCGAAGAAGGTGAGCTTGATAATCTTTGTAAAGAATTTCCATTGGAAGTAGAAAAAAGTTTCTATGAAGAGGGAAATTGGTGTGTGGTATGTAAAAAAATAAACGTTTCAACGTAACATATTTGTACTTTATTTTTCACTAATTAAAAAAATACAACTCTACAAAAAAAAGGCTATAAAAACACTATACAAAACAATATGGATAACAATAAACTGTTATGGTCTGCGCATGCGCGATGGGGATAACTGAAATAATTTTATGAAATTATGTTTAAATTGTAGACTTTATCGCATACAAAAATACTACTCGTACACTACATAATATTGAGTAGGTAATCTAAATATTTTTGTTGATTATTTATGTTATTTTTGCCTCCGCTATTTTCTATATTCCATTTTTTTCTGTGTCTCTTTTTACACTCACATAGTTAATATTTTAATATAGCAACTAACGCAAAGTAATGGAACTTTAAAAAGTTATAGATATTTTATTAAATAGCATACTATAGGTAAACATTTATCATGGTCCTTCGAGTCGGATGCTTACGAACAAAAATTTGGTTCAACATAACAATGAAAGCGAAATAAACATGGAAAAACATTAACAATAAATTCATATTCATTCATGAAAAAAACGATCACTCTAACAAAAAACATTAAGGATACAAATCCTTCCTTGATTAAAAATCCAGCTCAATGCTATTAGCCGAGCCTATTCTAACGTCGACGTTTTATTTCGAGACTCTTAGTTTAAAACCAATTAAGTAGTTGAAACGATTATTTTCATATGGGCTACGCCTGCGCCAAGCATCTACCCTTTCATCAACGCCAGTTGCAGAAGTGGTATCACTGAAACCGTGGACAAGTCTGCTAGTACCGCGTCGACATTTTGCAATGTGTTCACTTGGAATATATTCTCTTTCCTGAAGCTCAGTATAGACAGGGCTAAAAGAGGCAGGATCTCAAGGCAGTCGTATCCCAGTATGGCGTCCCATAGAAGGAGGAGTTGGTCAGGCGGCAGGTGCCCACTGAAAGCCCTCATCAACCACTTGAAGACCACTCTGATTCTGTAAGAATTAAAGGGTGAGTTTTAATAATGTTCTGTAGAAGATATTTCAAAAATAAGTATGACGTCATCGACATAGATAACTTACGGATTAATGTTTATATTTCTGAAGTGTATCCACAGGAGAGGCTCGTTCGCTTCTAGTAACCTTTCGTACAGTAAACAAAGAGAAACTATACCCTGAAATTGGAAATATTTGGTGAACAATCAATTTTCAATCTATTTTATCGACTTGAGTAGGTATTTAGGTATTCTTTACCTGTGGATGCGTCGAAATATAGTGCAATCTATGCCAATATCGTATGTAAAAAGCTCGAAACGTGTAGTATAGCTGCACCGGGTCGTCGTACAGGTAACAAAAAGGTGTTGCTGAAAAAAATGTTGCAATTAATAAACCAATAAAATAGACAAGAGAAGTTGCAGACCTGTCGAGTTAGAGACTAAAAACTGGAGGGAAATAATCACGTCATGATCATGAAATAAAAAGAAAATTCATACCATACATGGTGAATCCATGGAAAGGGATGATCCCGCTCGGAGGAAAAACAGTGACGCTTTCCGCGGACGTCTGCTTGCCCTTGATAGTGACTGTAAGAGGGTTGCCAATGCTGCCCTTGAGATGCTGCATGACTTCGCAATCGCGCGAAAAACATAACATCACCTGTTGAACCACAGTCAATTTATATTCGGCATCGTAATATGAACCTACAGGATTTCAATCATTTTTCTTTTGATTTACCTGGTACAAAAGGTCTTCAAATACAAAATACTGGTCATCGTTAGATGCAGTCAGCTGCACGTCCTTGAATATTAACTTGTCTATCATAAGATCAACGTCCAACACACTCTTCTTCAGTTGCGCAAAATATGCTATTTGCTAAAACGAAAGAAATCGTCAAGATAGAGTTACGCTTTCTTATACTATTTCCAATTGATATTGAAGCAAACGGTCCTTTACCTGTGACTTCACCTCAGCTCCCAGCACTTGTGACCAAAGCTTTGCCCGTAAGCATTGTGGGCTGCCTTTCTTCAAGTACTCCTGGATGACAGGCGCGTAGCCCAACGCGGCCACTCTATCCCCCAAGCCGATACGTTCGGTCTCCAGCGTCGCAAACCCAGGCACGGAACTCGGCATGTTAGGGTTCACTCCGAGGAGAGGCTCCCCGTTAAACCACTCTAAATAGACCTTGCGCTAGTTGTGTAATGGTTAATGGTTAGATTACTTGGTGGTGGGTTTATAGATTATTGGTCCTTAGAGGCAGATACCGCACAGCACTTGTATGATTTATGCTACTATCCGGCTCGAAGGACCAATGTGTTGATGTGCTCTAAAGAATACCTAAATCGCCCTTACCAATTGATCTAATGTTTTCACTTGCAGTGGTAAATGTGCAAACTCCCATTTTGGCTCATCACTGAAATGTTTCAAATAACGTTTTTAGATTTTGCAATTTCTGATATTTTTTTATGGAGTAACTCCAAGTATGACGTACTTACTCTCTTGTAAATGGCACATAGCCGGATAACGTTAGTAAAACTTCTAAAAAGTCTTTCGGAGCATACACTGGCCTGTATTTTGTTAAATCTGTAATAAAACGTTTTAATTTCTAAGTAGTTGTGGGATCCTTTTCAGGTGAGCAGTTAATAAACATAGTTCTATTTACTTATTTACCTAAATTGTAGGTACTTAGTTCGTTCCACTTTTCTGCGAGCTCCTCCTGCTCACTCTGGGATCGTATCTTCGCTAACGATGTCTCCAGGTCGGAGCACATCGAGTTCAGAGATTTATGTATCCTCTTCTCCCATTGTGCACTCGCTTTCAAAAGAGAAGTTAATGGATCTAGCTTCTAAAATAAGTGATGGTAAATTAGAAGATTTATTCAAGAGTTTTTAGACGTGGCTCTTCCCAAATTTCAAAAAATGTAGAAAAAAATGTTTAGGACTTACATTTTGCTTACTTTGTGTTCTCACCCAATGAAATACTGTGTTTCTAAGCTTGGTATCTAAACCTTTTTCTTTCATGGCTTGCTGTAGCGTCTGCTTAAAGTCCTCTTTCTTTACGTTTGGCGAAGAGACTAGTTTCTGTGTAAAATGTTTCGTATTATTGAACCAGCGTTTATGTAAGCACGCACCTTTCTTTGGGATAGTTTATAGCATAATCAAGTCAGGTAACAAATAGCCTGGTAGTACTTGCCTGAACATCGCTGTAGAATGATTTGTATATGGATAGGTTTTTAATTTCTTCGGCTAATTTAAGAGCTGTGTGGTGTATGGCTTCTTCTTTTATTGCATCCATGTCTATTAGGTAACAAATAATAATCTAATATAATTTTGTAAAATAAAGTAACAGACATGAGTGTGTTTACTTTTTTTGAGAAATCATACTTCAAAATTGAAAGAAATTGTGTTACTTTGGTAACCGATAAACAATATTATTAGTTGCATAACAAGGTCAAACAAGGCTGGGTCTTTCGTTAGATCTTGATCTCATAATATCATAAAACTTAGTTCTAATTATTTTGATAAAATTAAGTCAATTCATCGGTAAGCCATTTGTGGGTAGGGTAGGTAACCAATTACCTTTGGCAAATAATAAATTTCCAATCATTTAAATTTTACAAAAAAAAATACAATTGCGGATGTGACCTTGTTCCTTTTAATTGTTATTTACGTTTTTATTGAAAATTTCCTACATTTTATATAAGAAATGTCATATATCATTTCACCATAGCAGTAAAGATGTCAAAAAAATAAATGGAATGGAACAGGGAACAGCAATATTAAACGTCAGCCATCTGTCAGTTTCATCAGCTGTTGTTCGTGTCCGTGTTGTGGTTTCGTGTTTTGGAAACAAAGGAATTGTTGAAAATGGGCAAAATTTTCCTTGATCATATTGGTGGAACTCGTTTGTTTTCCTGTGCATCGTGTGATGTTAATCTAACCAATCGTTCTGAACTAATTAGCACACGATTTACGGGAGCTACAGGTACTTTTGTTGTGTATATTTATTGCGTAGTGTCGTAAGACCTCCCCAGCCCCACTACAACTTGCGTCTTTATTTCGTTCTAACTTCTACGAGACCGTTCAGGCTAAAGTTCGCGAAACTTCTTTAAGATTCAGATTAGTTCAATCTCGTGGCAAAAATATTACTTTCTCTTTACCTTATTCCTGGATCGCTTTGTTGTATGACTCGTAAATCGTAATTTTATTGTTTCCAGGTCGTGCTTTCTTATTCCACAAAGTAGTGAACCTGATCTACTCCGAGGTACAGGACCGAGTGATGCTGACTGGTCGGCATATGGTCCGCGATGTGTCCTGTAAAAATTGCGCTACTAAGCTCGGCTGGGTCTATGAGTTTGCTACTGAAGAAAATCAAAGGTAAAGAAATTAAACTGAAAAAGAAAATGTTACCTACATAATAATGAAGCAGCAATAATTCAAAATTGATATGATGTGATAGTACATATTTGTAATGAAGAGTAATTCCTTTCCCTTATAATAAGTTACTCTTGTAAAACAAATATCTATAAAATATGCTTAATGTGTTAATTAAAAACCTTTTAATTTTGCAGATACAAAGAAGGAAGAGTCATCTTGGAGAGAGCACTTGTGACGGAAACCGATGGCATTGAAGAGATCCAGGTCAATAACGATGATTAATATTTATTAGCGATAGTTTTCACTAATTATTATATTTAATAGTAGTTGTTATGTTAATTTTAATCAATGTGTGAGTGTTAGATACTAGTACTATATCCCAGAAGTTACCTACAACTGTTAGTGATCTGAGAATTTCTGTTTTGTATCGTTTCATAGGACCCATCCAAAGTCTAACTCAACTTATTTCTGTTTAAAGATGTAATAATAACAAATAGTATTTACTTAGAACTACTGGGATATTATCTTTTATTAATCAATCTTTTTATTGTTGATAACTTAAACTTTTATGAACCTACTTATTAAAAATTATTTTGTAACTTTAGTACTAGATCCTTATTTACAAAGATACTATAATGTCAAGCTGTGGTGGGCTTTTGTCAAAGCTTGATTTGTATTACTGTGATAACTTGGTCATTTATTGTAAAGCAATATTTTGGTATTGAAAAACAATTTCACTGCCCTTCAAATGTTATTCCAAATTATCTGCTTTATTGATAAATAAATAAAATCTTTTAAACTACTCTTTTCGTTTCTTTTGTCACTACCCCTCCTTTTTTATACAGGGTGTTTACTCCCGTTTCAGCCACATAGTCTGAGTTCATACATTCAGTGTAGGCGCGGAGAGTATTGAGTTAGGAGTAGGAGGAGCACACTGATATCGAAAAAGAAACCCCGCCATTAATAACCAAGACGAATGCATCTAAAAACATTGAGTTATAATGTATACGTAGTAATATTACTTCAATGTCTAAAAATGATAGTTTAAGACTTAAGTGAACTATAAGTTGCTTAATATGTGAACTGTAATTAATTAATACTGCAGTTTAAATAGGTATCACATTTTATTCATTATTATATAATAACACAACATATATCTTTAGCAGATAACATAAATTTCTTCTCTCTAATATTCATGCAATTACTTAAGCTCAGCTTTACAAATTGGAATAAAGTTTAAATAAAATGCCAACAAAGTAAAACATTTCAGGTGGTTCTCAAACAGTGGTGACTTCTAAAAAAAATTAGTAAACTTATATTAGTTTTTAGCGTTACCGTGGTAACGTAATTAATACAGGGTGTTGGGTAAATCGTTATTAAGCCGACACTAACATAAATGCATATTAGTAATAGTGAAGTGAGATATTTGATATCATTTCATTTATCATTAATTCTGATTTTACAAAGAAGTATGTATGCATTTAAGTTACATAGGCTAGTTTCGGCTTGATATATCATTTACCTAGCACCTGTATTTCCAGCCTACTAAATAGGCAAGGACCTTGATACACAATTTTCAAAAGAAACTTGGGAGGACGATTTTGATAAATACACTACATTTTTTTAATCACTGAAGCATAGACTGAAGTTTTTGTTAAGTTTAAATTACTAAAAAATTGTGGTGTCTGGCGTCTGTACAAAATTAATGCAACTGCTTTATTACCATTTTTACAAGTAACATTACATTATAGACACTATTATTGCAGAGTGAATTGTGGGCATTGTGGCTAAAGCTGTATCGTTCCGGAATTTACCCGGTAATATTCCCAAATTTCCCGAAATGTCCACATTTAGGAGTATTATTGGGGAATTCCACCGAACTAGCGATTGTTCCCGGAATGGATCACCTTTAATTTTATTGTGGATTATGGACCTTCATTTGGAGTTTCAATTTATATGAAACAATCACGGAATGAGGGCTATCGTTTTTATACTTAACAGTTGGCACCCCTGGCGATTCACAGAACCCTTACTCTACAGTGGCGCCATCTTGATGAGTGCAATTGCGATAGTCCTCCTACCACTTTAGCGCTCACCAGTTGGTGCCACTGTCTTCGCTACTAGCAAGTGACAGGACCTTACTCTACAGTGGCGCTAACTGGTGAGCGCTAAAATGATAGCCCTCATTGAATTAAAGCCACAGTAAGGATGCTGCCATTTGTTGGTCGGCTGCCCACTCGTCTGGTCCAAAATATCTTTTTAAAGGACAATGACCAAAAGTGGTCCAAATGTCCACCACTAATGAGACCTATATGGGCTTTTAGTCCATTAAATAGAGATTAACTTTCAGTATGGGACGAAAAAAAAATAAACTGTCAGTAAAAAGTTACGACTGTTTGAAAAATTGTAGTAGTTTACGCGCTAATCACAGGAACTACTGGTCCGATTTGAAAAATTATATTTGTTATGGATAGCCCATTTATCAAGGATGGTTTTAGGATAAATAACATCACCCTACAACCAATAGGGGCGGAGCAGTAAAGACAATTGTTGTAAAAATGGGAAATATTATTCAAACTATTTTCACGCGTACAAAGTCGTAGGCACAGCTAGTATAATATTTAATAAAATTCATCTATAACCACGCGCCACATGCGACATGACATAATTTGCGTAGATTAGTCCAAAATGTGCAATGGATAGAATGATATCAAGAACATTTTTCGGATGAAAAGGTAAAAAACAGACTTTTCATTCAATCATAACTTTTTACTGACAGCATATTTTTGATTGCAGTTTGGTTATAATGAATCAGTATTTAGCAGACTATTTTACTACATAGGTCTCGTTAGTGGTGGACATTTGGACCACACTCCATACATTTTTGGTCATTGTCCTTTTATCAACTTTAACACATTCCATCAACATATTATGATACTACTTGTAGTTTAAGTAATGTATAGGAAGCATATTTCTAAGTAAGTATTCCAATGAAATTGCACAAATTAAACAGAAAATAACACAAATAAACAATTTATGAATTCTAATGCTTCAATAATACGTCCCATCAAAAGTACCTACGCGTTTAAATTATATCCACTGGATTTCCCAATTTTTTCTTGTATGTAACATTTACAATTTCACGTGTAATAGTGCGTTGTAACCTTAAAAGGACCCTGCTCACTGCGCTATGCCCACAGAATCAGATGCTATGGCATCATACCATGGCAGGGGCACCACTTCAGAAGATCATTACTATGGAATCAACCATCTCAGAGGATTATGGATCAAGAAACACGTCACGGATAAGTCGTGATCTGTGTGCTTACCATGAGTTTACATTAGGCGAACTCGCTAGCGAGTGCATCAAAAAATCTATAAAGAATTTAGTTCTTGAATGTAACCACTAGGGGCACTGTATAATCTGTCATAAGTAGCACATGAAAACCCCCACTACAAAATAAATATGTTAAGGTTTAGTAGGTCACGCATGGTAGTACAAGTATTATGAAGTGAGCAGTCCATGACAAGGTGAAATATAGCCTTAAAACGAATATGGATTAGATTTACACCTCCATCTTAAGTTGTTTAACACAATATTGACCCATTAAGAGTGGAAACATTATAAGTAATCGCATGTGCAAATTATTATGAAGACTTCATTACAATTCTTTCTCTTAAATTATCCAAGTGTCATTGCATTTTGTAGCCGAACTTTGTAGGCGTAGACTGCGTAAATGGTTGAATATAATAAATGTTTAGTCCTCTGTACATAGTACATTTTATCACTTAAGCATACAAACAAATATTCATAAAAAATATCGCACCATTTGCCCATTCTATTATGATATGAGCCATACTTCTTCACATAAAAGCACCTCAATTTAACATCTTGACAAGATAAAAAAAAACAAATCTTAGGTGGAATTGTGTAAAGCAATCGTTATCATTTGACAGTTCATAACATACGATTATTCTGTCAAACGCTTTGTTTAACTGACTTTATCGTACGTTATGAACTGTCAAATGATTACGATTGCTTTACACAATTCCACCTCTTATTGTTAAAGTAGAACAATAAAGACTATAAAAGATGGTATTTGTCCCATAGAAGGAATAACATAATTATGTATATGGCTAAAAAAAACTAAAATAAAGTAAATGTGAAAGGGAGACCCCGAAATTAGCGTCAGATTTAAATCTATTTAGATCTTTACAATTTACATTCCGATTTTAACTTCTGCTTTTTACAATTTATTCAATTTTCCGATTGACTGTTGAAACAGTGGATATACAATTACTATGGGTTAATTGACTTTATACACGCAAAAGCATAATGTGTTTGAATTACAAAGCGCGCGGTAAAACGCCTTTGTTTTTTGCTGAGCAACTAATAGCTGCTATTTTTAGATATCGTTACATTTATACACAACATAATAATGAACACTTCTGAACCTGATTTAAAATATAATAGCATTCTGTCTAATTAAAATCCAATTCGAGATCACATTGAAGCCAACCGCCTGACCTCATGTAGTACTGTTAAAGCAACGATTTGAAACATCCATCAGGTCGCCGTAATGATATAATAATATATTAAACGTAATAGTTTTCAATTTCTAACAATATTCCCGTTTTTTAACAACATTTATATTTTTATTTCATATGTTAACACTATCAATTCAATCATATTCGAATAATAACTTATTTTTGGAAAAGTATGATATTATTGTTGAGTCACTAACGATACAAGTCCTAATTAGTGCCTATACATACATAATATACAGCGATAAAATACTTCATAAATAATTATTTATGTAGAACAATTAAGTTTCCTTATAAACTTCCCTTTACATGAATAAGTATGTTAAAATTATAATTGAAATCAAAGCTCAGAGCTTCCTATTGAAAACATGGAAAAAATATTCGGCACTTTAATCTTTAAACTAAAATTTACCTTACACTTTAAATATTTAGTACCTTTAATATTGATACATACACCTTATTAAAAAAATACCACCCAATATTTTTATTTTGAATAAAATTATTGTTTAGAAGATACACATATTATGTTGAAACATATTCACAAATTCACAACTGTTTATAGAGTGGTTTCACTGGAGTCCTGAAGTTCCCGTGAACTTCAATCGTCTATTTTTTTTCCGAGGGATAAAGCTTGCGACAAAAGTTTCTTGACGCTTTTAGCGCGTTTCATAAAAAAGGTACGGGGTGAGTCCTGATGCGGGGCGAGTCCTGGGTCGTCGTCTCGGGCCCCAGCCCGATCCGCTGCTTCACAGTCTCGATGAACTCCAGAACCGCCATGTAAATGAATTTGTACTGCGCTTCATTCTGCACCATACCGGATCGCTGGTCTCGGACCATCTGCACCGTGCGGTGGATGTCGATCTCGCAATCGAAGCCCTCCTTCCTTATTTGGTCCAGGATCATGTCGATGACTATGAAAGTGCCGGTGCGGCCTATTCCGGCAGAGCAGTGCACGCATACGACGGCCTGCGGCGGAGGGTCGGGCCCCGTCATTATCTGCTGCAGCCTGAAGTTCACGTCCAGCAGAATGTTAAGGACGCGACCTGGCTCCGAGGGCACGCCGTGGTCCGGCCAAGCCGTGAAGTGAAAATGATAGATGGTTCTCTTCGATTCAGTATCGTCCTTCCGCGTAACCTGAAAACGTCGCAACGTGTAATCTTGGGTCGATGATTCCGATTCGTTGTAAATTGTATATTTTTTTATAACCTCCGTTTTATTCAGGTCGGGCCAGTATCGCTCGCATTTCACTTTACCGCGTTCAATTTCTTTCGTCGTCATTATGATTATGCGTACATCTTCCTGCCAGATCATGGACCAAAACTGGTAAATCGTAGTCGACAGACAACCCTGAGTGGCGATATAGGTCTTGTTATAAACATGATCGTCGATCGTAGTTTCTGCTTCGACGACAGCCTTGGGTATCGTGGTGTTAACATAATTGGGGTTCGACCGGATAACGCTCGGCTCAAATGACGGTACGAGTTTCTGGACACCGTTGTTGTGCTTTCCATCCCGGTGAAACTTCTCCTCCGTCACAACTACAGTAGTATGGTTCGGAGATGTTTTATGTTTGCCTTTGGAGAGAGTCCCTTCTCGGGAAGTTGGCGAGCCGTTTTCGTTGCTAATGTAAATGCTGTCCTGTGAGTCCGATAAGGAATCGGACATGTCGCACCGAATGTAGTTGGCGTTGATGTAATCAGAGCCTGCCGGGGCGTCGCCTGGAATGTCCCTCAGGACAACACGCGTGTGATCAAAAGGTATAATATTTTTGTATCTGTTTTTCCGAATGTTCTCTGGTTTTGAACCCTCCATTCTGTCGAACAATTGCAGGTTCTCCATCATTTGTAACGTCTCAAATTCTTCCCAGAAACCTTGTTTGTAAGCCATGCTTTCGATAGGCCCTTCATTTTCTTTTTGCAGTTGTTTCACTCGCGTATGGAAATGACGTACTTGGATTCGGGTGGCGTTGAAAGGTTGTATCAACCTTAGCACTTCGCCCGTAGTTTCGACCATAGGGTAGTTACGATAGTGTTCTATCAGACTGACCAAGTCATCGAACTGCTGACCGCCACCGACGTCATATTTGTTGTCCTGCCGCCTGATGATGACGTGCGTGACGCGGTCTCGTGTCCTGATCGAAAGGACGAAGTCGCCGGGTTGGCGCTGCGACTCTCGCACAAGGAAGGAGCCATTCTTGCCGTTCTCCAGCATCATCTTCTCGGCCTCCTTCGCGGTCAGTTGTCCGTGGTACCAGCGTTCAGTGGTGGGGTCGGCACAGTTGAGGGGTGTTTTTAATCGGATGATGTTTCCGTTCTTTTCTCGCAGCTGGCCTTGGTTGTCCATGTAGAATTGGACGAGTTCAGAGAGAGTGGCGAATTTCTCCCCGCCGTAGAGATCGAGGAATTCTCCGTTGTTCTGTATTTTGATGTGGGTGACCTCGCTGCCCCGTCGGACGGAGAGCGTGAAGTCGCCCTTGTTGCTCATACTCGGCCGCGCCAAGAAGTACCCATCGCGTCCGCAGTCCATCAGCAGCTTTTCTGCGTCCACTCCATTCAGTGACGGGTGAAACCATCTTCGTGTAATCATCTTACTACGCTAACAAAAGCACCACGCGGATACTACAATACCTTATTTAATCAGATCAGTGTTGCCTCTCTATGACCCTCAACACAACAGACATCCTCTCCATGCATCTGAAAAGAGAAAACAATTTAAATTAAATAAAATTATCAGTTGTAGGATATCCTCTTAAAGAAGATATTGGATCATCAGTCAAACTTTCCAATAAAAAGCATAAAATGAGTAAGGAGAGGCGTGGGCAGGCCTCCCACTAGGTGGACAGACGATCTGGTGAAGGTCGCGGGAGTTGCCTGGATGCGAGCGGCGCAGGACCGGTCTTTGTGGAAATCCATAAGGGAGGCCTTTGTCCAGCAGTGGACGTCTTTCGGCTGAAACGACGAATAAGGAGGAATAATCCAATTGCAATCTGTTTTAGGTGAATATTAAAATAGATTTTAATTGTAAGTAACTCCCAATGTGTGGTTGACTCCCGCAAAATGGTTAAACAATAATTACTTCCTCAACATGAACTGATTATGTTATCAAAATACTATACAACACCAACCTTATTCAAAATGTTGTTTATCGATAATGAATAAATTGATTTCAGTTTTTTGAAACAACTTCATGGAACAACTTCTTTTGTAATTTAAATAGTACAGTGAAAATCATCAATTAAGATTTTTAAGACAATAAAGTTCAAATGTTGGCAATATTTAGGACAGAGCCCTAGATAGGGTTAAAAAGTAACTAGGACTTCATCAAATTCATTAATAGCCTTGGTTGACTCATGGAATTCAGGGAAAAACTTACTTAACTGTACAATATGGTCTATGTCTTACACTTGTCTATGATATCAACAGACCAGACACAACATTTTAATGTACAGATAGATCATACGGAGAAGCAATTAATGGCTTCTACAGGGTGTTAGGTAAATGGGTATATGAGCCGACACTAGCCCATGTTAACATGGTCATATAAATGGTATGGTGAAGTCAGAAAATTGATATCTTCATTTGAATTATTTTAATTTTCATACAAATCGGTTTTTTTTTAAATTAATTTTGTATAAAAATTAAAAAAATTAAAATCATGATATCAAATTTCTGACTCCACCATTCCATTTATATGCCTATGTTAACATGGGCTAGTGTCGGCTCATATACCCATTTACCTAACACCTGTAGAATGAACAAGGAAAACTAAAAACATTGGCACGAGGGAAATTGTAAACAGTTCCATGAAATCCATCTTTACATGTGAAATATACCACATTATTCAGAAGGCAATGAATTTCAGTCATATACATAGTCAAGATATTGTTATGAGGCCAATAAATAAGGTATTGTTATTCTAATGCTTGTTAGCAACTATGTTGTCTGTATTGCAGACTGGAATTAGGCTTGTTTGTGGTAGCAAACGGTATGTCAATGATGGAACTCAAGTAATAACACCACACCCAGATTCTGTCAGATCATTACAGAAGCAGTATGTTGATTGATTGTTGATGTTACTGTACACAAATTGCTATTTTACATTTTGCTATGATGATGTGTGAGACCAGAAGATAAGATTAATACAATAAAACTAATAATTTGATGCTTAATTTATACTTTATAAAATTATAGAACAATATAAACTAGATTAATACCTCAAGACACTTCGGCCTTGGTATTACAGAGAACAATGGGAAAACACATTTAAAAATCTTCTATTGTCTCAAGTTCTCAACCCTCCAGTTGGTCATGTCAAGTTTAGTGTAATAATAATTTAAATGTTACAGCACTGAACGCTATGTGAACATCTTTCAAGAATATTGAATTTTAGCAAAGTGTGGAAAACTTGTTTGAGATCTTTTTCTGGGGTTTACATAAACATATTATTGCTTTTGATTCTTGATAATGCTTAAATGTGTAGTATTTGATGGACTAACCCTACCCTCTGACCCTAAATCCTTGAATGGATTTATATACCAGTTCTTCCAATTAGGCATGATTCTTACATTGGACCCAATCTGAAGTTTTTCCTAAGAATAATATTATCCACAAACCACTTACTACAACAATGTATGACCAAGATATTGTAATATGTATAGGTGTACATAGGTATCTACACACACTAAACGCACAAAGGCGCACCGAAGACCTCTTTTGGTGGTCTCTTAACCTGTTTACAGTAGTAAAATGCATTGTATTCCCTTAAACTCACCCCATAAAGGCACCCGTGCAGCTACCACTTCTTAAATTTTCCTAAAATAGGAAATAAACGAATCCAACTGCTGTTGCTATGCTGACTTTAGACTTTTTTTGAAACACGGTTTTCAAGGGCGTATACACTTGTACACTAATAAACGTGCATTATAGGTTATAGATAACTGTTTTTGAAAAGGTATATGGTTAGTAATGCATGAATAAATCGAAATAAACGTTGAAATTAAATAATTTTAGCACAAAAAGCTGTAAAATGAATTCCGTTCATGAGTGCCTGCGGAAATGTCACCACAGACAAAAAATCAGATTGTCACTGATTGTCACTTACGCTGTCAGCTGCTGGCTGTCATTCGAAGGATCTATTTGTCATCTAGTATTTTTCTGCGACATTCGGAGGAACATATTTGTCATCTAGTATTTTTCTGTGATTTTACGTTGTTCTAGTTCTACGATCAATTTAATAAACATTTTTTATTGTATTGGATAGCGTTAGCTACCCTTACTTGCAGTTTACATGGTACCAAATTAATGTGACTAAGGGCTGATTTTTCAACTGTCGGATAACTTTTATAGTTCCAAAATACTGGACTGTCCTGTCGATGACATTGACAGTGGGGCGCCACCGTCAATACCGGATCGCTGGTTCAGATTTTTGCCATGTTGGAAACCATATAGTTGAACGATGGTAGCGCCCCCCTGTCATTGAGTTTGGCGGGACAGTTCAGCGTGGGTCATCTATAACTGAAGAATAAGTTTGGCACATTGACAGTTTCAGTATGGAAAATATGTCAAAATGACAAGTTTATTCTTCAGTTAAAATAAAGATGACCCACGCTGAACTGTCCCGCCAAACTCAATGACAGGGGGGCGCTACCATCGTTCAACTATATGGTTTCCAACATGGCAAAAATCTGAACCAGCGATCCGGTATTGACGGTGGCGCCCCACTGTCAATGTCATCGACAGGACAGTCCAGTATTTTGGAACTATAAATTTTAACTGAAGAATAAGATTGGCACATTGACAGTTTCAGTATGGAAAATATGTCAAAATGACAAGTTTATTGATCAGTCAAAAGATATAGATGACCCACGCTGAACTGTCCCGCCAAACTCAATGACAGGGGGGCGCTACCATCGTTCAACTATATGGTTTCCAACATGGCAAAAATCTGAACCAGCGATCCGGTATTGACGGTGGCGCCCCACTGTCAATGTCATCGACAGGACAGTCCAGTATTTTGGAACTATATCTAAGGTACGTAGTACATTATAACTCAATGTCTAAGGATAGAAAAATCTACCCGTAACTAAATTGCCCTAGTATCAAACTCATTTGGTCAAATTGTATAGGGTTGCTACATGAAGAAAAAAAGCGCCCTCATTTTATGTCACGACTTTATAGACAAACTGTACTAATTTCTTTTAATGGCAACAGNTATGGAAAATATGTCAAAATGACAAGTTTATTCTTCAGTTAAAATAAAGATGACCCACGCTGAACTGTCCCGCCAAACTCAATGACAGGGGGGCGCTACCATCGTTCAACTATATGGTTTCCAACATGGCAAAAATCTGAACCAGCGATCCGGTGTTGACGGTGGCGCCCCACTGTCAATGTCATCGACAGGACAGTCCAGTATTTTGGAACTATAGATGACCCACGCTGAACTGTCCCGCCAAACTCAATGACAGGGGGGCGCTACCATCGTTCAACTTTATGGTTTCCAACATGGCAAAAATCGGAACAAGCGATTCGGTATTGACGGTGGCGCCCCGCTGTCAATGTCATCGATAGGACAGTTCAGTATTTTGGAACTATATATATCTGACGATTGAAAAATCGGCCCTAACGTGAAAGGATTACACCAATAAGCTCAGTAAGGTTAACACATTAATCGTGTTTACCACTTAACAGATTCCTCGGAAAACTTTTACCTAAATACCTACTTTTAGATATCATTACTTATTAAATTAGAAGGTCAATAATAATGTACTACATATAGCAATTAGTTTAAAATATTTTATTGTTTATTAAATTAAGTAAGAGACTACAGAAATAAAATTATTTATCATCTGGAACGGACTTTTGAGATTTCCCAAAATAATTGGATAGTACTTTTCTCACGGCTAGTCTTTTGCTCGGTGATGAACACTCCCCTTGCTGGTTTGTAGATTTGTTCCAATGCTCAACAAAACTTTGGCGTCTAAATACCTTTCCTAAAGACTGCCATTTTTGCTCAGGACTTATATCTTTATCTTCAAAACTTTCCTTACTTCCAGACGGACGATCACCCTAAAATAATAAAAGTCACATTTTATAGACAGACACTGATTGGTTAAATCAACAAATGGTAGGACTTCTTTACAGCAGGTAGGACACGATGGATTTTAAAAATAAAACTTCATTAATATTGAATAGGTTAGTAGGTTACACTGTAATGCTCCGTGATGATGCTGTAACCGTTACAGCATCATCACGGAGCATTACAACTTTACAAGTGAGTCGAGGATGAATGCTTAAATCTACCTTGTTCAATTAATAGTTCACGTCACGTACTCACGTCATATAAATTGATGATAATTTGAAATTATATTACTACGTTATACACTTACATCATTCGATTTTGTTGATCTCAATTGATGTCGGAAGAAATTTGTAATAGATTTTTTCCAAGTCTTTGGATTTTTGAAAGAATGTAGCTCTAAGCTTCCACTACCTTCACCCGGAATCTTTTTGGTTTTCTTTCTATCAGTTTCTTCTTCTTCTTTATCTAAATTATCATTGGGAACATGCACTCCTTCAGGACACAACATAACGGCCACAAAAAATATTTTCACACACAAATAATTCACAAAAACGTTTAAAAATTTCTTTCAATAAATTTCAATTTATTGTTATGTCAATCTTTTGAAATAAGAAATTCACTTTTGTTTTTAAACATGTTATGAAATCTTTTTGGTAATACAAAAGTTTTCGGTATTGTTGCAAATAACCTAATATTTGATGGTAATATCTAGTGATATGATTTTTAATTGTAAGCAGAATACGATCATTGCCTACTATAATAATTAAAAAAAAAAGTAGTTCCGCTGAAGTTTAGACGCGGGAAATTTTACAAAACTGAAAAGTTACCACGTCTCTCACATTACAAGTTCGATAACATTTTAGAGCTTATTTATATTGAGAGTTTCTTCTAGAAGAAAATGACAGCCACAGCAACACGTACGTCTCAGGTAAATAAATTGCTTGTTATTGATTTCTGTCCACCTTCAATATTCATGAAATTAAACAATCATTTTTTTTCATAGGCTGTAACTGAGTGGACAAAAGTGTTTCCTAAACAAGTTACAGAAAATTATACTAGTTCAGTCACATTTATGAAGCAGTTGACTGTTATAGCAGTCAGTACGATTACATATTTGAAGAATGCTTTTCCCGAAGACAGCTATTCAATGGAAAATTTTGGTGGTTTGAAATTGAGGATTCTAAAAAAGAAATGCAAAGATGACCTTGCTCATTTTCTGAGTACAGCTCTTACTCAGGCGTTCGAGGCATTTGATAAAAAATACGTAAGTTAACCTACACAATTGTCCGCTTGGGATTCAAGACTTAGGTTTTCTATTAAAATCGTGTCATCTCGCTTCTAGTTGCACCAACTAGCGCTCTGCTTTTACGAGGATGAGTGTAAAATGGAGAACTTGATCGAATACCACGTGTTCGAGTATACTTATAACGACGATGGGGTGACCATGAGCGTATCGTCTAAAACGCGGGACAGCGGAAAGACGCATGCGCGTTATACGTTCGACGGGGTACGCGAGAGGACTGTCCACCTCATTAGAGCGTGTGTGGTCATCATGCAGACTTGTCAACAGCACCTGCCTGAAACTTATGACGTGTCTTTGCGGCTGTATTACAATGAGGGTAAAGAATTAGTTTCTACTTTTATTTTGTTCTATGCTGTGACCACTTACTTCGTACGCGTGGGAGTCTTTTTCAGGCTGTTTAAAGAAGTAACTTGAGCTAGTACTTATTTCTATTTTAGAAGAATAATTTGGGTAAAACGCTTAAAATTGAAACGTAAATTGTGAACAAAATGCGCAACATGGGGCTATTATGTAGCAAAAGCTAATAAGCAAAACCATTCTAGATGCCCCAGAAGGTTATCAAGCGCCGGGCTTCAATGCGGCGGCCGAAGCGGACGACCACCTCGAGCCTACCCTGCGAGACACCATCAAGCTGGGCTGGGTAGAGACGCCCTACCACCGGGTGGTGGCGCGGTCCTACATGAAGGACAGCATGGGCGCCAGTCACGAGGCTATTGTGAGTCTATGTGCTTTGTATAGGACGTGATCGGTAAGGAACACCTCGAGCGACACCATCAAGCTGGGCTGGATAGAGACGCCCTACCACCGGGTGGTGGCGCGGTCCTACATGAAGGACAGCATGGGCGCTAGTCACGAGGCTATTGTGAGTCTATGTGCTTTGTATAGGACGTGATCGGTAAGGAACATCTCGAGCCTACCCTGCGAGACACCATCAAGCTGGGCTGGGTGGAGACGCCCTACCACCGGGTGGTGGCGCGGTCCTACATGAAGGACAGCATGGGCGCCAGTCACGAGGCCATCGTGAGTCTATGTACTTTGTATAGGACGTGATCTGTAAGGAACACCTCGAGCTTTCCGTGCGAATGTTGTTTACTGCATCAATTAAACTAAGATGATAAAAGTACCTAGTTTAGTCTTGTAAAAGTCAAAATGTTAGACGAGTGAAAACCAACGGGTGGTCACTTTGTCCTACATGAAGGACATCATGGGCGCATTGTGACTTCGTGAACCTTGTGCTTTGTATGACGTGATTGATTTCGCAGTGAATACGAAATCAATAAAGAAAGTTAATCATTGTTAAGGTACAAGGTATTTTATACTTTAAAAGACCTGTGTCACATTTTGGCTGGGGTGCATGTAAATAGAGTATCCATTGATTTATTCATTATTATCAGTTCACATTACATAATTATTTTGCATATTCATCAAATTGTATTTTTTCTACAGCCTTCTCAAAATCCACCGGTAATGTCGCAGATGGAGCAAGAGGAGTTTACATGTAAGTCTATTCACCAAGCTCCTTATTATTTGCAACCCCAAACTAACTTTATTTTTATTTCGCAGCATCCCTGGCCCGCAGCGCATCAGGTTCCAGTGAGAGGCTGCTGCAGTGTCCTTGCAACAAGTACGGAGGGGAAACGCAGAATATGCTGTTGCTGACTTGCCAGTAAGTACTTATGGGTGTATCTAGGGAGGGGATGGGATAAGGGAGGGTTGCTGCACTCCCTGGTAATAGGCTAGTTTCCTAAAAAATTTTTTTTAGTCCGTCATGTTTAATATAAAAAAATATTGGACACATATATTTTTATTTGTCAATCTAACAAATAATTACATAGTTATGGTGCGTTGAAGTTCCGCGCGACGTCACAAAGTGCGGCACTTTTATGCACTCATTGACGTCACGGGCCTCTTCTTATGAACTTTGGCGCGCTTTATCTCTTTAAATTTTCATTAGTTTGAAAAAGCGAAAAATACGTGTAGAGTATTTTTTGATAATTTAACTGACGGACTAATTAAAACTCTTGCTTTCTTGCTCAACAATTTATTTATAATTATTATCCAAATTGTGTAAAATTACTATGTTTGAACCAAATAAACAATTTTTCTTTCTTTCTTTCTTTTTGACCCAGGAAACATCCCTATTGTATACCTCTACCTACATACATACCTAGCTACTTTATATTTCGTGGTTATGTGTCACAGTACGGAGGACCCTAAAAATGGATTGGCTCCCATGGTAAAAGTGGTCTTTGTGCCACTTTTCTTTAATTTGAAATTAGCCAAGAGATTTGATCCTTTCTGCGGTTTGACTACCCGATATTTATAGTTCATATTGTTGAATAGCTAACAAATCATGCATTATTTTCTTAATAGAATATCACTAATAGTGGAACTGTAGGAACCTTAATATTCCCCTTTAGATACTGCAACACCCAACAACACGCGGCGTGCTTCGGCCTAATGTCTGAAGATTTTCCTCGAGCTGCCACTCACTGCTGCACCGCTTGCTCCGACGAGGACCCGACTCGAATACCCACTGACCCGCGACTGGTGGCCTTGAGCGCTAAGAAGAGGGAGGTATGTTTTTTGTAAAGTACAAGTGGCTTGGTTTAAGGTCAGAGGACTTCCCTCGAGCTGCCACTCACTGCTGCACCGCTTGCTTCGATGAGGACCCGACCCGAATACCTACCGATCTGTGACTAGTCGCCTTGAGTGCTAATAAGAGGGAGGTATGTTCTTTGTGAAGGACAAACAAGTGACTCGGCCTAATGTCGAAGAACTTACCGCGCGACGATGGCTGATGGCTTGGGAAGGAAAATCGAATATATTTTTTTGTTTTGTACTGCCACGCGGTGCTCAAAAACTTTAATCTTTTCCCTTTGTGTGAGCAACTATGTTGGATTTTTAAAACCAATTCGCTCTGCTGTGATTCTCCACATTAATGTATTAAGATGCGAGCAAGGCTGATTAATCGTTGTGGGGGACCTTTGTTCAGCAGTAAATAAGTCTTTTGGTTGTCCTTAACAACCTCGGAATCAATAGAAGATTGCGAGTCAGTATTCCCAGAGGAAGAATTCGCTAAAATCAAGTGGCAGTGGACGGGGGGTGGTATTATATTGAGTTGAAATGTCGCGTGACGTCACTTTTGAGTAAAAATTCTACTCAAGCGTGACGTATCGCGCCATTTCAACTCGATGTAGCACTGTTATTATTTAATTATGAAAGAAAATAAAAAATACGAGTCTAATATTTTCTAATTATCTGTCTGACGGACAAATAATTGAAATTTTGTCATCTAGCCTATTCTTGGGAGAGGCCTTTGTCCAGCAGTGGACATCATTCGGCAGTGAACGTACGAACGATTCGAGGAAGTTCAGTAACGTTAACACGTTATGTTCCCAGTGCCTGTGCATATTCCGTCGCACGCTGGCCCTCTGCCGCGGCTGGGGCACGGCGAGCGCGCGGCGGCTGGAGACAGCACTCGGCGTGTCGGCCGCCAACGCCGCCAAGCTGGCGCGGCTATTGCGCTCGCACGCCGTCACCGCGCCCATGCCCGAGTGAGTACAAATCCCACCACCACCCATGGTTCTTCGGTCTATTCCACTTTGATCACCCACGGATACTATGCTCTGGGTGATCAAAGTGGACTCCAGTTAAATTACTATTTTAGTGTCCTTTGATCACCTATAAATAAATTATAACTCTGAATAGTCACATACATGTCCAATTTGTTTGTTGCGGTTTTTAGAAAATATCCAAAATGTTATAAAACAAAATATGTAAGTATAACAATTGGACATGTGACTAGGTATTCAGAGGAGGTGTGATTTGTATATAGGTGATCAAAGGACACTAAAATTATAATTTAACTGGAGTTCACTTTGATCACCCAGGGCATAGTATACGTGGGTGATCAAAGGACACTAAATTGTCGCTGGAAGTGGACTTTGATCACCTGGGTCATCAAAGCCAGGTGATCAAAGTGGAATAGACCGGTTCTTCCTGCCTCACGGCGTACGAACCGAATCTCGGGAGCGCGCGGGTACTTGCTCTGGACTCTTTCCCCGCTTTGCTTGACTCCCTACAAATTTCTCTAATCCATGTCCCTTCTCATTGTCAATTCTCCTCCTTCTGGGACTTGACACAAATACGGTACTTCGCGTCGGGCTGCTATCGTCGATGAATCATTACTTCTTCTCATAACTTCGCCTGATCGTGTGCCAGGAGTGCGCGAACTCGCGCAGCGCGATCCAATTACTACTACTCGTGAGGTCCTGGTGATAAACAGGTCCTTGCTCGGCTCTCCGTATCGCATCCAGCATCTTCTGTCGAGCTTCGTCATATAGGTTACATTCCCAAAGTGCGTGGTCGCGGCTCTCTTCGACTTCCTCGCCCGAGTGAGTACAGTACAGGCGGCGGCTGGAGACAGCACTCGGCGTGTCGGCTCCAACGCCGCCAAGCTGGCGCGGCTATTGCGCTCGCACGCCGTCACCGCACCCATGCCCGAGTGAGTACAAATCTCACCACCACCCATGGTTCTTCCTGCCTCACGGCGTACAAACCGAATCTCGGGAGAGCGCGCGGGTACTTGCACTGGGCTCTTTCCCCGGGCGCTTTGCTATTACCGAATTTCTGAACACAGACATCACTGCCTTAAGCACGCCAACTACTCCACAACACAGTAGCTCGTTACACCGTACTCGCCGGCGAGTACGAGGCCCTGCTTTCCATTTCGGACGGTACAGACATGTACCGGGCCGGTTCTCCCCTATCCGTCCCCCGGACACGGCCTGAGCCGAGGTCCGAGCCTACCGTGGCGCCCTCAGGCCGCGTCCGTAGTCCCCTCGATCGGGCCCACTAGAGTGAGCCCGCCGTAGGCTGGACTTTGGTCCAACACCGCGGTGGGCAACCCTCTAGTTGGGTTCGCCACTGATCGGGCGCCTTATGCGCTCGATACGGCCCGATCGCGAACGTCGGTCTGCGACCGACGATCGCCAAACGGCTAGAGTACCTTCTGTACTCGCCACTCTGCCCGGTGAAGCTGGAAAAGCTCCTCAAGCTACCAGCGCGCGTCCCTTCAAAAAAAAAAAAAAAAACGGGCGCTTTGCTTGACTCCCTACAAATTTCTCTTATCCATGTCCCTTCTCATTGTCAATTCTCCCCCTTCTGGGGCTTGACACCACAAATACGGTACTTCGCGTCGGGCTGCAATCGTTGATGAATCATCACTTCTTCTCATAACTTCGCCTGATTGTGTGCCAGGAGTGCGCGAACTCGCGCAGCGCGATCCAATTACTACGACTACTCGCGAGGTCCTGGTGATAAACAGGTCCTTGCTCGGCTCTCCGTATCGCATCCAGTATCTTCTGTCACGGTAATACTATCTAAACAGTATTCCAACTCAGCCATATTTTTGAAATAAATGACAACAGTCGTGCGGTATAGTTCCAAAATACTGAACTGTCCTATGCATGACATTGACAGTGGGGCGCCACCGTCTATACCGGATCGCTGGTTCCGATTTTTGCCATGTTGGAAACCATATAGTTGAACGATGGTAGCGCCCCCCTGTCATTGAGTTTGGTGGGACAGTTCAGCGTGGGTCATCTATACGTCACGTAATGACAACATGCGATAGGGCTGCCTGCAGACCCTACTTTCATAACATCTGCCTACTTAGAATTTCTAGACTTGTGATTGTATTTTTATATTTAATTTTGATTTGACAAACAAAATACTTTGTGAGTGGAATAGGATAAAAATGCATGTTGTTTTGTGATTAGTAGATTCTATTAAAACAACATATTTGTATTAAGACATAATAAAAAATCTTATAAATTTGCGACCGTAAAATGTATGCGCCTCGACTTAGGCGTACATAATGTTTGATTATTATATTTATAGTGTTTTTGGAAACATGGATAAGGAGGAATAAAAAGGAATATTATGCTAATAATAGTAGAAATACAAAAGTTTGTAAGTGTGTATGGATATAGGTAGGTTTGCTACTCTTTTATCTATGGGTGCGTTATTGAGGAATTCGTGCAACCAAAAACAGCACAAACAGCACCACTTGACATATTTATAAATAGGTACTTATAATTAATTTTATAAAAAAAAATTTACCGCTTACTGTTTAAACACATCGTCCGTTTATTACTGTGGCACATTCGCGACACCCCCGACTTTTGCATGTCGAGCGCATACCGACATTTGAATTTCGATGGAAAGCTCGCGTCCCGTCTGTTTATATGAAGTTACAATACTGTATGATATTATTACCGTGCTTCTGTCGAGCTTCGTCATATAGGTTACATTCCCAAAGTGCGTGGTCGCGGCTCTCTTCGACTTCCTCGCCCTCGCCTCGCCCGAGTGAGTACAGTACAGCAGGGGGCTGGAGACAGCACTCGGCGTGTCGGCTCCAACGCCGTCAAGCTGGCATCAGCAGGTATCAAGGTGATCCATCATATCAGCAGGTCATTTCTCTACTTTTGCTGCAACACTCGTGAGATCAATACAGGTCAATTAACTAAAGCTGGCACGATCAACACATTTACAGATTGCGCTTGTGTAGTGTCTATGAATAAGCGCGCGGCGCACCCATTTTACTAAAAACTACTTCTATACTACCTACACTTATGAATCAAAATAATTTATTTTTAAACATACTGTATAGTGAAATTGCGTAAGTGTGAGTAGGTACTGTGAACGTGCCAGATTTAGTTAACTGACCTGTATCTATAGTTTTTTTTATACACAACGAGGAAGCTCTTGGCCTGTATCTCACTTGATGCGTGAATTGATAATTGGTTGATGCATGATCTCCGCTGTAGCCTTCATCATGGTCAGCAGGTCACTCAATCTCCACCGTAGCAGCAGTGCGAATCATCAGGTTTATACTTAACTGTAGCCACAGGACGAGTGAGTACTTTTGAACAGTTGATACTTGATGTCGTCATCAGCAGGTCATTTAGGTCTTCACTGCAGGAGCACAACTCTCTTTATTTTACCAAATACCAGCGAAGATTTGGGATACACTCCCCACGCTGGCCAAATGGGTTGGGAGTCGAAAGTCCAGTCGGGAGCCTTTAGTCGCCTCTTCAAAATCAAAATCAATCAAAATCAAAAATATTTATTCAGTTTAGACCACAAGTGGCACTTATGAACGTCAATAGAAAATAATAAAAAAAGAAAAGGTAGCCCTTATGGGGCACTTTACATGTCTCCTTATCTTTTGGGCCTACCAGCGCTTCGAGACAAACATAATGGCAAGTGCTGAGAAGAAACGCCGGAACAAACTCAGTCACCTCTTACGTCATTTACGAGAAGAATGAGATCACACGGTACCACCGGCACTTAATACACCATTAACCTGTAATTCCAGGACACAACATCCTAATACACATCATTTTAACTGATTCAAAACTTTCCAGCCTCAACACACCAAGCGAAATTGACCCAGACCAACTCAAGTCTGTTATGAACAAGTTCTTCCAAGTTGCCGAAGAAGAGAGCATTGTCGACAGACTCTTAGCCGAAACCTTCGCATCTCAAGAAAGCCAACCCGACCCAGTAGGAGATGTCCTAGGACCCATGGAGAAAGTGTCTCTACAAAACGCATCTAACCTTGGTCGAGTTATTGAAACACCAGTGGATCTGAACAAGACAACAGAGATTGAAGATTTGACTCTCAAACAGTATAAAGAAGCACTCCTATCCAATTATCAGATGGATGAAGACCTTCCGTTAAGCGGTTCTAATAATCCTTTGAAAGAAATAGAGAATCTAGGGAAGAGGAGAATAACAAAAAGGAAGATTAACGATGAAAATGACGAAAACAAGCCTAAATTGAGAACTGGTGTAAGAACCAAGAGGGCTAAAGCTAAGGCTTAATCTTAAGATTATAATATTTTTTACATTAATAATTTGATTGATTGGTATTGTAACGGTGTTTTCAGTTAATAATTTTGTTCCAGTAATAATATGCAATAACTCAAAAGTAATAAAAAGTTTTATTACCTATTTGATATTAACAATAAAATGTTTTGTACTTATGTATGAATGTATCACTTACTTAAAACATTTCACAACAAATACACTTAAATGCATTGAACAATATTCATGAACCCATCGTTTGGTTTACTAGTTTATCAGCCTTTGTCGTTTCATAAATTGATCTGGCTTGGATCATCCATTTCGAAGTCTCCAAAGTTAAAGTACACTCGCCCCCAGTACTTTGGGTCACCACGTACGTCTAATTCTTTATTGTTTGGCGGTACTGCTGTTTGGTTTGCTTCACTAAGCTCTTTTAGCAGTCTTTCTAGTATTTCTGGTTCTCTGAAACAAGAAGCTCCATTTATATTTTCAATAAGAATGCATTTACGTTTCGTATAAGAATTTGATCAACTAGATAAAATCTAAATTCTTTCCCAATCATAAATACAGAATTTCGCTTAAATCTTGGTAATATTAATACAAACATTAATTAATTAAAGTTAAGCTTACTTCAGTCTATTTGGATGACATTATCATTTTAGGCTAAAGTTTTAAATGTGCATTAATTTGATTGGCAACTGTTGTGTGTAAACGAATGATTAATTAAGTAACCCATAAGTATGGAATATTGTGATTTCTTACTCTTCAGCTAAGTTTCTCTGTTCGCACGGGTCTTCTTTGATGTTGAAGAGACAGGGCGCGACCAGCGGTTTACATGTGATAGGGACGATACTTGCATTGCAGTTCACGGTAGCTTCCTCTCTGAAATAAACAAAATATAATTTTAATTACCGAGAAAATAACATTAATGCATAATGTACAAGGACAGTGATTTTACACTTCAGTTACCTTAATTGCCTGATTTTGTCCTTATCAGGCATCAAACCCAGCTTGTTTATGGCCTGACCTGCAGGCGACTTCAAAATTAGATCTACTTCGTAAGTTCCTTCGCGACCGTCGGGGCCATACCAATTATCCCATGTTCCTTTGTAATTTGTTCCTATATTCGGAAAATTCATTATTAGTTTGGTCTTGAAGACTATCTCTAGAATTAATTCAATAGCATTAAGTCTAATTCAACAATCATGAAATATTCAGAGGATATTATGAGTTTTTAGATAAATATTCAATCTTAAGATTATAATAACGTAACATACCTTTAACTAATTTCCACTGGTCAACAGTAATAGCAGCGCTGCCCCAAATGTCGTCTATGTTGTGGACTATGGATGTTCTGTCTGACTTTACGTCATGAGACAACGCTTCCCATAGGTCGAAACCGTCTATATCTTTGAATATACTGCAAATAAACCAATATCAATCATTATAACCAAATCAGTGTACAAATGCTCGACTCAAACTTTTCTTTATATTTTTTAGCTAGTCGGTAAGATCTATAACTTAGCGTCAAGCTCCGTAATTTTTAGGGTAAGGGTTGTAGCTCAATTTAACCTAAAGTAGATCATCAAAATCTGTCTCCCTAAGAAAATATTGTAAAATTTAGATAAGGAGTAAAAACGGACCTAGTATCGCCCCCTGCGGCAGTATAAAGCGTGGGCAGCCAGTCCGTGATGTGCACTGTTTGCGTGGCCACACGTGACCTGCTGACCAGTAGTGGGCTCCATAACGCTGATACACCACGCACTCCGCCTTCCCACAATGTATTCTTTACCTGCAAATGATTTTTAACATGGTCATAAACCTTTATTATATCCAACTTAAGTTAATGCGTAACAGAATAATTAATCGAAGTTGGCGTCTAACGTAGCATGCGATCATGTGCGTTCCAATGCTTAAATTAAAAAAAAAAACGCTGTAGTTCGAAATTTGAATTACGCGCCAACTCGCAGTCAATGACGTACGATCCTATCATAGATTTTATTTTTATTCCGTTGAGATCTCAAACTGTGTGAATTTCGTGCCGCTCAAAAATTGATTTTAAAGTGATAAAAACGCAGTTAGTGTTGTGATTTCTGGCTGTGATCAGATTCTAGATCCAGTAGGTTATTGTAAAGCGAAGAAAATGCGGGCCCGCCAGTAAACGGACTTTTTCATCTGCACGTGGATCCATGTGAAGACTACTGGTGCTCCAAGTAAGTGTCCCTTTCGTTCGTTTGTATGTTTTGATTCGGTAGTGTACATTTACTCGCAATTTTTCACTGCAATTTTGCCACTGCATTTTACTTAGACCAGCTTTTTTGTATGGCTTCGCGGTATACTATTTAGCCCCCACAACATTGATGAAAAATCAACCAAGTGGCAATTTAAATAAACCTTACCCCTCTCAAAGGATAGTTAGAAGCGGCATTGTCGTTGAAGCCAGCTGCCGGGCCGCCGTTGTCAGTTGTGAATAGAATAATCGAGTTTTCCAGTAGTCCGTTAGCTTCCAGGGCTTGTACCACTTTGCCTACTGACTCGTCCAGTTTCCATAGTACTCCTGAAATGCATAAGCATCCACATAATTCCTAGATAGTAATTTTAATTTGTGGGACTTCCATCACAAGGTGGACCGACGACCGAAGCTATAATTTTTTTACCTACCCATACTGACATAAATGTGATACATTATCCATACATACCTGAGCTGCAAAATACCCCAGATAAAGTTTAAAAGTACTTTTACATAGGTAGGTCGTTAGCGCCCGTATGTTTCAAGTAATTTCGCATAAATTATGAAATCTACATGCGGAAACATCTGAGTAAATCTCAAAGACAATTATTTTACCTGCGAATTTCCGTCTTTGTTGATCCTTGATGTGGGCGAACTTCTCGATATCTTTGTCCGGAGCTCGGATGGGCTCGTAAGGGTTGCCGGTGTGAACGGCAGAGTGCGCCACCATCAGAAATAACGGCTCCGACTTATTGTGCCCGTGTATACGCTGCAATAAAGTATACAAAAATTGTAGAAAAACAGGCTATTTTAATTTTTATATGAGTTAGTGACGGTGAAGATGATCACTTACCCGCACGGCTTCATTTGTGAATACATCTGTTGCGTATTGGCCAAATAAATCGTGAGCAACTAATTCTGAATCTGAAAACAACATAGATGCTAAAATAGCCTTTGAATCTTTTCATTTGTTTGTTATGGAATTAATTGTTTCTTATGGAATTTTTCTTTCATGGATTTGGCATGTTGTTTAAAAAAGCATCTTAGAAGAAGTTTCCTTAAACATTTCTTTTAAATTATGACTGAATATTATATTTATTTGTTAGTCAAACTTACCAGTCCTGAAATCGAATCCCCAAGACCCCCTTTCCGCGTTCGTATGATCGAACATGTCAATTTTACCTGCAACGAAGCCAGTGTGAGTCTCAAACCTGTGGAATAAGATATTTTACAGTATTTCTATCATTAACATTTGAAAACTTATACAGTTAACTATGATATAATTGATTCAAAATCTGCAGTAATTTAAACAGGCATAAGTAGAAGCTGCTTTTCTATGAAGGGTTTTTTTATCATACGGAAAAATTACGTCCACATGACGTTAAAAAATATTTTTACCCTCGTTGTTTAGGCAAGTATTCCTTCTTGTAACTGCCGAGGTGCCACTTGCCGACGAGGTGGGTACGGTAGCCGAGCTCCTTCAGGTATTGAGGCAAGATCTTTTCAGACAGCGGCAGACCTCGCGGCTCAGAGCCGTAGATCACGTTGTGTTGCATTCCTGAGGAGAGGTGATTTATGTAAAATACAAACTCATTGATGATGATGATTAGGCGCACACAGTTGATTTTTAATTGGCCGATAGTTGTGCCCGATTTTAAATTGTATGAAGAATCGGCCAAATCGAATCGGCGTAGTGTGCGCACTCCCATACATGCCCATATTGATCAACTGCCCGACTAAACTATCGGCCGACGAAAAATCAACGGTGTGCGCCTACTCTAAACAATGATGAAGTCTGAACAGGGTTGTGATTAATGACGCGTATGTGCATCATTGCGTTAGGATCTTCCCGAGACCTAGCTTGTACAAAACCTGGATGCAATTCCTATATCGCTTTCAACTTTCATCAGTGTTTGTAAGTACCTACCTACTGTCTACAGTTCTAAATTACTTCACTTTTAGAGTAAAGTATGACCTGAGTATTTCTCAAAAAAAATGTACGTAACGAAACAGTAGTAACGAAATAGTAAGGCCATAAGGCTTGTTATACATTGGCGAATTATTGTGAATGCTCTTCATTTATTCAATTCGAAATATTTGTAAGTATGCACCCAAATACGGGGTAATATTAAGGGGTTAGAAATAAAATAAGGGAGTAATCATTCATACTATTTTAATAAAATTATTTTTGTTCCATCATATTTATCCATTTTGAGTCGTTCTCTGTAAGCTTTTTGCCTTTCGGCATTGGTTTTTGGCGGCATTCCTAAAAAAACAAAAGAAGTAATCACATAAAAACGTAATCTAAATGATTTGATAATTTTTTGCTGGTGGCACTTCTGTAAAGCAGATAGTATTCAATCCTTTTGTTATTAACGCTCTATATTTTTTGAAATAAATTAAGTAGTGAATATTACTATGCTTAGTCAGGTAATAACAGTATACACTCAGCATTATGTTGTACTTTTTCGTAACGTAACGAAATTCGTAAAAAACGTAACGAAATATTAGACAAAATGAGATCAGAAACAAGTATTTTTTTGATAAAATTTGTTACAGCAAATATAAAAGCTTACTAAATGTTCGTACCACACGTATTACAAAAAATGGTTAAATGAAGACTTACCGTTCTATATAAAATCGCTGATTTTACTGCCTGTTACGAAAAAGTAATCCCACAAAACACACACGTTTTCACTAATTTTCGCGATAGATGTTATGGCGGAGACGTCAGGCCAACAGCCATTCAGAGTGCAGCTATTGTTGTCCGTGTAAAATAAATACGAAATTGTTCAGAAACCATGGGAAAGTAGAAATAAATCGTAACTAAAGAGTAAATAACGAAATAGTAAATGAGAGCGACTCATTTTGTTTTTTTGCTTTAAATTGCCAATTCATTATGACACCCCATAGAAAATCAATTTGATACAGAAACTGCGATTACTGTAGAACGATAATACTAAGAAATTTACAATAATTTAGTTACGTATCGCATTTTATGAAACAAAAATACATGAAAAAGCTAGGGTGGCAAACAGGTTTTTGTATGAAAGGTAAAAAAGGACTATTTTTAAAATATCTAAATATATGGTAATAAGTAGGATTATAGCTATAATTCTTCGTTATCTTAAAGATTAATATTCATCCTTCAAAATTGTGTGTGTGTTTTTTTTGTGTGATGATTTATAAATATAAAACTTTTGAACTGTTTCAAAGCACACTTTTTTTTTCAAAATGTACATTTTTTTTGAGAAATACTCACCTATGGATGGCTATGGTGACCAACCAAGGTTATTTCTTATAGTTTGGTAAACTTGACGCATCATTAGCGTTCTTGACATTCAAATTGTTTTTGCGCAACACTTAGAAAAACGTAGTAATAATTAAAAAAAAAAAAACATTTAAAAGGCTTAACCATGAGGTACAAATCGTTAGAAATACCTAAGAGTTCATTTAAAAAAGAATTTTTACCAACAGCTAGATAAGAATTAACAATTTCACGTGTCTTACCAGTATGGATGGGGTATTTCCCAGTCATGAGTGCAGACCGGGAAGGTGTGCAGATAGGCGTCACGTAGTGGTGCTGCAAGATGACACCTGACATCCCCAGGGCGTCCAGATTCGGCGTCGGGATCTGGTTCGACCCGTGGAAGCCCACATCGTTCCAGCCCTGCAAATGTGTCGTCAACATTCTGTCAGTTTACAAATATAGAGAGTTTAAGATGGATTTTCCTAACTGTCGCAACAATTGAGTCCAGCAATGTTTTAGAAAAGATATGGTAAAAAACTATTCATATTGGAATGAAGTTGAGATTTAATGTCTCGGTAATTTTAAGCATATTGCACTTTGGCAACAAAGTGCTTTAATTCAATGCAAAATACTTAACATAAGTTGGGCATACCGAGTCGACCTTATTTGATTGCGATTGGCGCGAGATATCGAAAGGACTGAATGATAAGTAAGCTAAGTTTTTTAGCTCTAATTAATAGATAGATTACCTACTTAAAAGGAATTATTTTCATGAGTTCTTCTTTTAAATTGTCTAGTGCCCAAAAGACAACTACAGAAGTTGCATGTAAAAAATATCTTACTTTCAAGGAATTGCTGGCAATGCCACTCGAACGATTGCCTAAGTTAAATCCCGATCTAACATGCAACATCCTGGCCTACGCACCCAGTAATGTCAGGTATCCTGTGGCAACATCGGACCAGTTACACACGAGGGGAATAATCGCGGCTCAAATTGCCGGTAATTATTGTTGTAATACTTGTATTTAACGATGTGGATGAAATTAAATAATTGTTGAAATTTTTCTTCATAGCTGAACTTTACCTACGTCAAATAATATAAAAGTGAATAATGAAGAAATACTCACGTCCAGTCATACTCAAATATTTAACTTTCTTGACACGGTTTTACAAATAGACAAATACACATAACTTATTTAATATTATGTTATGTATGTAGATAGTAGGTGTAGTACGATTGGAACAGGTAGAAATAGGTGTTCTTATGAGCAAAAACATCATTTTCTATAGTAGGTAAATAATGATAGGTATAACATAATATTACGGGGCACATAAGAATATTATCAGATCAACAGGTAACTCGAATCGATTGGTCAGCGTTGTTATCGTGCTTACCCTACTTTTCCGTCAAGTACTTAAGTAAACAAACAGCGGTAAAGCATAAGAGATAATGAAATTAAAATGACCGACATTTTATTGGATGCCTATAGTCCATACAGATCACACACAGGTAGAGTGGTTTTGCACTGAAACTGGGCACAAACTAAACCAAGATAACTTGTCCAATGCTGGACGTAAGCCTCCTCCTGAAACGCCACAAAACACGATTTCGCGCCATTTGTACCACTGCCTGTCCATCGAAAAAGTGGGTAGATAGGAATAAAGGGTACTGTGCCACTCACTAAGTTTCTCTACCTAAAGACGATTTTCTGTTTATTTAAGAACTCACTGACCAAGTCATCGGCGACTATAAGCACGATGTGTGGTCTGGCGGCGCAAGCGCTCGCGAAAGCAAGCACAAACGCGAGCGCAAGCATTCTGTATTTGTCCGATGCGCGGGCGCGGCCGAGCGCGACTGTCAAAGCACGCAGCTTGGGCTTCCAAAGGCACGTTCTGATTTGTACACATGACGGCACATCAAGATAAGCACTGTGGGACTTTATTTAGTTGTAATAAGTACGTTTATGCTACAAATATGTATAGTACGAAGGATTTGTGTGAGAGCATACCATTGGGACACGGTGGATGCGCGGTCATTTGTAACTTAATTCGCGTGATCGTGATTCACTTATCAGATTAGGCCGTCGAATTTTTCAAGAGATTTTGTCTTTTGTGAGTGTTGAATACAAAATGTTTTAAGTGATGAAATAAATCATACAAATAAACAATAAAATGTAGATAGAGGTAAGGTACTCACCAAGTAAGCATTTTTGCGGTCGGATGTTTGGGCCCGACTGGGAAGTTTCCGACCATCAACATTTCTTCTTACGACACATTTTTCATATTTCTCACAACAATCTTCTTTCTCATCTTCACTCTAAGGAGTGCTCTGAGCCCCGATTACGGTAACTTTTAACGTTTCCAATCCAGACACGCTTCTCGATTCTGCGATACGATTGGTCGTTCAACAGCGTACGTCAGCTATTTTGACCAATCGTATTGCAGAATCAGAAACGCGTCTGGATTGGAAACGTTAAAAGTTACCGTAATCGGGGCTCAGGTCACTGTGAACGCGCCTTAACTTTAACATGTTAATACCTCATCGCTAATAGTGATACTATGACACCTAAGCACTTGTAACGATTTCAACGAAAGGAAGATAAGTTGTTGGGTAGGTTTATTAACAACCAGATATAAAATATACCTAATTTATTAAGAGTAAACATCATAAGTTTAAACCGCTGTAAGTGATTGAACTTTGAAGGCCACGGATTAATATTTATCGCAAAATTTCGTAAAACACTGCGGACCGAGGTCCACTCATACGTGACATGATATAAAAGCCTAAGGTCCGATTTTTGAATTGAGATTTTATTTATTTATTTATTAGGTACACCAACGAACGGTACAACAATACACAATATGTTAAAAAATACGCAAAATATTAAGCTAATTGCACACTTGCAAGAAATATAAGTTGCTGCTTAGTTAGTTAGCGTTAAATTTTTTATGATATAGAGTCGGTTGCTGTAGCCTTGAATTTGGGTAGGGACATGAAATGCACGTCCAGGGGACCACTACATTTATTGTAGACCTTACAGATCCGACATATTAGTAGGGAATTTAGTGCAAGAACCCCTCCACTTTGGTATAGAAGGCTCATTTTTGCAACAGTGGTTCTTTGGGTGCTCCTGAGTGGATTTCCGTCGGTAGACATCGGGAGCCCCCCCTGTGGTAGCAGGGGGAGGGGGGGCAAGTTTCCTTCCGCCGCGCTTCACTTTAAGGCCCATATCTTCAAAACTATGGGTACTAGGGCAAGTGTGGTATCATTTTCGGATAATTAAAGGATGGCGAATTCATTTCTAGAACAACCTTTTTGCCTTTTCATACAAAAAAATTGAAATATTGAGTAAAATTCACAAAAACCAAAAAGTATTTTTTTAAATAAACGTCGTTTACTTTTAAACCACTGGAGATAATCTAATAAAAAAAATATGACCTGAAAGCTACATTTATCAGGATTATAAAAATATAACATTGTATGGTACTTTTTTCCCAAAAAGTAGGTGAAAAAAATTTTTTCTTCAGGACACAGCGGGCGAATTTTATTGCGCATCGGAAAAAAATATTTATTTTATCCATGAATTCATACTATTTGGTTCATAAGCAAGCAAGGATTATTATTTTAGAATTTATTTAGAGTTGCTGGCACATCAATCTACCATAATTTGTATTTTTTCGTCAATTGATTTTGAACTCTATGTGTGAGACATAAGGTTGAAAATAGCTTAAATACATTTTAATATTGAAAATATCTTAAGAAGAAAGCACTATATGTATAAAGAACTTTAATTTGTCTAAACGTCTTAATGATTATTATTATTTTAATTAACAGTTTTATTTCTACATACAATTGTACCAGTGATTTAACGGAAAGGTAAGTGTAAGGAAAATGAGGTTTCACAATCATAGTACAGGATATATTTTTAGCACAAAGGTTACGGCTGTGACCGTTTTAGTTGTTTTTTTCAGACAGCACCAGCTTCTGCACTACTTCTTGCACTTACATCTCACCATTTCCAGGCAAGCCTCGGCAGCTACGGGAAAACCGGTCCATGTAGGCTCCATCTTGCTATCGGCTCTGGTCCACCCCCAACCAGTCGGGTAAAGGGAAGACTGAGTCGGTTGCTTGCAACTAATCCTATACGCGAACCCCTTGGATTTATCTAATAAGTAAGTGGATAGATCTTGAACAAGGGATGACTAAAAAGAGGACCAAAATCCCAACAGAACAGCCTAATCTGGTTTACTGATAGCTCAAAGTCACGAAGACAAAGAACGCCCCGGGTGCCAAGCATCAGAGGGTGACACATGTCGCACAGATTAGTACTCACTGGCGCATCTGCATAACAAGTCTGCGGTCTATGTCATTGTCTTTCAATCTTGGAATCGGTAGGTAACCCCAAAATCGTGGGGGTTACCAGAGGGTGCCTTAGGACTTACGCCGCCACTGTAAAGATGGCCTTGGGAACGGGAACGGGCGACTACTTTACAGTAGTCGTGTTTACACACTTCGAACATAGTGATCGCTTAAGGAGGTTTGCTACAGTGTTTCAAGCTGAATTCTACGCTATGATATGTGTGCACTAAAGAACAGGGGTGTAAAAAACGCAATATTTACATCCTGATCCACAGCCAGCAAGCACTCAAACAAAAAGCCATCGCCTCAGTGAAGGTTGAGTCTAGAATTATTCTAGATAGATGAACAAACTCGGAAGGCATGAAAGTGTCCCTGATGTGGGATACCTGGACATACACGGATCAAATGCAATGGGAGAGCCGACAGTCTAGCGAAACTAGGGTCAGAGGCGATACCTATTGGGTCAGAACTGATACTTACCTTTATCTAACGGCATACCTCATGGCCATAATATGGCCATATGGCCACTGTGCTTCTTGGATATCCAAGAAGCACAGTGCTAAATGGAAAAGCTCCAACGATATAAGATAAACCTCTCCAAATCATTCCTAAAGGGAAACACAAGGTCATGGAGAAAACTCATTAAACGGAAATAAAAGGTACCTAAGCCCAAGCAATTACTGGTACGCAAACTGGGCATTATGGAACGAACCACATGTCCCACAAAATAGGCCTACCAACAGAAGACAGCTCTCGAGCATGTGGAATACATGTGGGGTCCATGAATCAATACTGTAAGGATGGGTCTGCTTGGGTCAGCATATCCGGCATCAAAAGACTTAGAAGGCTTTCACTCAGACGCTTAATTCACCTAATGGATAGGATTTTTTTGGATGATAGGGAATAAAAAAACGGAGCATAAAGATCCTAATGGGTCGCTGTGGACTACGCTTAGACCTAGCTTAGCTTAGGCCCTACATAAGATAACCCAGACATCAGCAGCAGCTTTGTATCAGCCTTGGCTACTGGCAGTATATCAAGGGATTCGCGTATAGGATCAGGTGCAAGCAACCGACTGGAGTCTTCCCTTTACCCGACTGGTTGGGGGTGGACCAGAGCCGATAGCAAGATGGAGCCTACATGGACCGGTTTTCCCGTAGCTGCTGAGGCTTGCCTGGAAATGGTGAGATGTAAGTGCAAGAAGTAGTGCAGAAGCTGGTGCTGTCTGAAAAAAACAACTAAAACGGTCACAGCCGTAACCTTTGTGCTAAAAATATATCCTGTACTATGATTGTGAAACCTCATTTTCCTTACACTTACCTTTCCGTTAAATCACTGGTACAATTGTATGTAGAAATAAAACTGTTAATTAAAATAATAATAATCATTAAGACGTTTAGACAAATTAAAGTTCTTTATACATAGGTATAGTGCTTTCTTCTTAGGGGGCGTCCATTAATTACGTGAGCCAATTTTGGCTAATTTTTAACCCCCCCGCCCCCCTTGGTGAGATTTCATGAGATTTTTTCAGACCCCCTCCCCCACCCCCTAATCTCACGTGAGATTTTCCAAAATGCCTATTTGCAATGTAAATGATATAATACATGCTTCGAAAATATAAAAAAAATAACTCTTAGTCCAATTTTAACTATTAGTTTACATTTTGTTATATTTAAGCATTGGTAGCAAACCGCGGATCTAAAAACTGTGCCTGTGTTCACAAAGGCAGACTGAGGATTTACTCTGTTTGTTGTGGAAAAAAATTACGTGATATTTCTCGACATCCCCCCTCTCCCCCACGTGAGATTAAGTGAGTTTTTTCTGGACCCCCTCCTCCCCCTAAAAGTCTCACGTAATTTATGGACGCCCCCTTAAGATATTTTCAATATTANAAGTGCAAGAAGTAGTGCAAAAGCTGGTGCTGTCTGAAAAAAATAACTAAAACGGTCACAGCCGTAACCTTTGTGCTAAAAATATATCCTGTTCTATGATTGTGAAACCTCATTTTCCTTACACTTACCTTTCCGTTAAATCACTGGTACAATTGTATGTAGAAATAAAACTGTTAATTAAAATAATAATAATCATTAAGACGTTTAGACAAATTAAAGTTCTTTATACATAGGTATAGTGCTTTCTTCTTAAGATATTTTCAAAATTAAAATGTATTTAAGCTATTTTCAACCTTATGTCTCACACATAGAGTTCAAAATCAATTGACGAAAAAATACAAATTATGGTAGATTGATGTGCCAGCAACTCTAAATAAATTCTAAAATAATAATCCTTGCTTGCTTTTGAACCAAATAGTATGAATTCATGGATAAAATAAATATTTTTTTCCGATGCGCAATAAAATTCGCCTAATCCTGATAAATGTAGCTTTCAGGTCATATTTTTTTTATTAGATTATCTCCAGTGGTTTAAAAGTAAACGACGTTTATTTAAAAAAATACTTTTTGGTTTTTGTGAATTTTACTCAATATTTCAATTTTTTGTATGAAAAGGCAAAAAGGTT